GGTGAACGCGTTACTCCCCGGAAAGGATAATAGCGCGTTCGTTCCCCACCATAGACACCTGCGGTCCAGAGTTTTGCAAATATCTCAGCAACATTGTGGTTGTAAAGCTTGAGTGTTAGATGCATGGAAGCAGAAGGGCCAGCGTGAGTCTTCTGGCTGGCGAGTGTCTGTAGGTATCCGTGACCTCCCTCTCTGTGGGCGACGTGCTGGTGGTCGCCGCTCACAACTGTCGCATAGCGCAACGCGATACGCGCTACATCGGAATCGCCTTCGTCGATGATCACAGTGATTGTCACTGGTTGAAAGGTGATAAAAAACTTCTCGACTACGAATCTCTGAGTGGCAGGGCTATTATCCGATCACCGCACAATACTAGGTTTTTCGTCGACTCAATATTTGCTTCTAGAGGATCTTGCAACTACCGAACTTTTTCCCGTGAAGCACCTCAGCAATTGCGAAAGGTCATTTGGACCCGTTCTATGTTGATTATGTACGTATTGCAAGTCTCTTACTCCAAATTTATGGTGGAGATTTTATTGAAGACACCTTATTAAGAAACCACTTGCGCTTGTTGGCTCCATTTATTCCACGATTTCTCAGTCATCATGACGCTTACCAAGTTTCATTTGAAAGACAAACGGAGTAGCGGAGCCGGAGTTCGGCTAACGGAGTATAGCGCTTTTCCTGATGTTCAACGTGGATCTGCAATAATTTCGTTGATGAGAATCATGGAGAAGTGCTCGAAGCACGGCAGACGACTATAGCAAGTAAGTGAAAGGGGTGGCAGTCTTTGTGTACTTTCGATCAATAGTCGAGGAATTCAAGTATTCGAGAATGTTGACACAATACGACCCAAAAAGATTTCTTCTGTAATTTTCTCGATAATTTGTACTGCAAGGACCATCCATTCTCCATAGAAGTTCGCGATCCATGATCGAAGCAGAGTTTCGGTTTCGTGTCAACAGCGCCGTTAGTAAGGGATTATGATCTAACACAAGCCGTTTGTGAACCAACAATATAGTGGTCCATATCGCGTCGTTGCCAATCGATTTCTACGAAAGTCTCTGAGCACACTTTCGTGCGTGGGTCGAGTGCATTGTGCTAGAGCATCTGGGAAACTACCATCGCTCAACACTAGTTCTTATTCGACCAGAAGGACAGGCAAAGGAGTTGAACTACTGCACTACATGTGTTTGATCAGCATGATTTTAGCGATCGGCTGAATAGGTTGATAAGCGAAAGCTCTATTGGATCTAGTTTACTATCGCTGAGTTCGCTACACTCTACAACCTCACTCAGTACGATGCCGGCTGCAAAGGTAGGTGATCGATCACATTCTAATCGACCAACATTCGCAGTTGTAGAGTTATGAACTGGAAACATACACGACGACGCGGCCTCCATAAAAGTCACACGATGTGAAAATAGTGGCCGCTAATATAAAATTTAAATACTAGATTTGAAAAATCTAAACAAACACATCTCAACTCAAGTTAGACTTTGTCGATTTCAATAAAAATTCTTAGAATCTGAAAATACTTATCAACGCAACAGAAGTTCTCCTGCCTTTTCTTCGATGAAATTCTCAGTTTCTGGTGCCCATGAAGTATCTGTTTTCCATTTTACTGCTCCTAGGATCATCTTTGTAAGGCTAAAGCAATCGAAAAAGCAGAATTTCGTCTATAAGGTTACAACGGTATTCCTCAATATATCGCTCATGTTTGCAGCTGCCACTATTACGTTGGAAATTTTGAAAACTTAACCACCAACGAATTTCTTTGAATGTTTCGATTCCAAACATGTCGAAGGACGAAGAAGACTGTACAGAAAGTAAATGTTGGAAGAAATGTCGTTGATTAAGGAAACACCAGCTTCGATGCAAAGGGTTTAATAAAGACCAAACAAAATGAATTTTCCTAAAACTTGATAACATCCTGTTGACATTTTCCTCAGAGCCCATCCTTCACTTCGTAGTTACCACTATTCATTATTGATATGTCGTTCTGCAGCCATCTGCGATGTACAGCATGTTCTATCCTTCCAGCAGGTTCACAAGAGCTGAGAATGAATTCGATGTTTCTATGTGACAGATTTCAACACCGGGAAAACAAAGCCATCCATGTGGAATACATGAACGAAGCATTCGAAATAGTTATTCGCAACAAGGGTACGAACTGTCAACCGTCGGGCCCGACGTTCCTCCCGTGTTACCCCCGCGGAATTTCACGTTCTAGAAAGACACATAATCAACTAATGAAGAAATATAGCCAACTAGCGTCAGCTAGTTATAGCAACCACCTAACAACAGGGAAAACATGAAATGGAGCTGATTCGATTAATGAGTAGAAATTCATGGGTGGATCCGTTTATCGCTTCCACTTTGAGTTCTACTTAACTACAAGTTGGAAAAGAACTCTTGTCGTGACCTATTTAGAAAAACAGAAAAGAAAGATTTCTGCATAGAGTGAAGATTTTGGAAGAAATATTTTTCTAGACGATGACAGGACGAAAAATTTCAGCAGGTTATCCAAATGATTTTAAAGCTGTGCTTAACTCACTTCAATATTTCGTTAAGGAGAACGATTCACCTCCATCGAAACAAGCAGATGTTAAGTAAAAAAACCTAGCAACAGTTTTCTTTTCTAGTTATAAACTTACTCGAAGTTGTTATACAACTTTTATTCGGCTAACATTTCTACGTCTTCTTCCTCTTAAGAGCCCTGTGATCACACTCGATAGCCCACAGCCATTCATTCTTCCGACTTGGGTCTTCGTGATACGATCAACGAAAATTTGAGAAGAGATCAGAGTACACAGTAGTTGATAATAAGTGTTAGCTCTAGAGGATCCTCATGACAGAAGTCTTAAATGCAGAAGAAGGAAAATTCTACTAAAGATGGCACAAAGAGTGACTCTAAAAAGCTTCTGCTTATCATTGTGTAATTGTCATTCCGTTATCGATTTTACTCACTAAAACTGTCTCAAAAATTCTCAGCATTCCAAGACAAATGACAAACTCTATCTCAACTGTTCACTGTTAAAATTCCCGACTAGCCGTAAACCACAAAACATGAACTTTTGGTAAGTGAGCAGTAATTCACGTTGAAAAGAAATGAATTAAAGATTAGAGGAGATGTCGTAAGCTATTACTCTGTTGGAAGCACTGACTCATCTGATCCATTGGCCACATCGCTACAATGCATCAAAACTGCAGTTATGGTCCATAGAACCTTTCAAATATGCTTGCTGTCTCCAGTATAAAATTTTTGCGGAATTATAAGCGGACATTAACGAAAACCCTATCATTCAAGACTCGTGTGTACAGAAGAGCTGTTCAATTATATTTAGAACTCCATTACGACATAATGAAGAAGCTGGTTCTGGTTCGACCAAGTCTCGGTTTCATCAAGCCACTCATCACTTCGAGGACTGAAGAATTGTACCAGATTTGTTCTGGGAAAGTACATTCTCTACGATCCAACTGCGAGCACTTTCAGCCCTGCCGTCTCTAGACTAGAAGAAGAATCGACTCAACCAGCAGGTAACGATATTACTGTCGAAAAAAGTTCTCTAAGCAGCAACCAAACCCATACGACAAGACTTTGAATATCTTAATGGATGGTAGACGCGAAGAAACGAATGAAATGTAGGAGGTTGCTGGGATCCTTATAGTAAATGAACACAGGTTGTGTGAAATAAAAAGTCGACTGTCCGACCTTGATCGTAGTTGTACCATAGTCACCCAGTTGCCCAGTTATCTACGTACTCATCATCACGTTCGTTACGGTACCACGACACTACACTTCTATCGCCGTCGCCAGTAGAAGTAAGAATGAAGTGCAACTGAACGAAAGCATCTTGCAAACTGCTAAACTGCAAGCCGCAGGACTATAATGGATAGTGAAGTCTCTTGACAAAGTCACATAGGAAATTCTTGTTAAGCCTTTTTTTGCTGATATCGTTGTTCTTTTCTTTTGGAGTAATTGACTAACGATGACTTAGAACAAAAGTTATTTGAAATATTCCTATTGTCACAGGACCTGCCATCTTGCTACTTTAACACATAACATCCGAAATAGCTTGGATACAAGGCATTTCAGGTGAAAACAATTCTCTTTCAGCGTTAAAACAACTTGTCTCAGGTTATATTAAACCTTAATAGTTGGAAAAAAGCCATTAGAATCCACAAATTTTTTAAAAATTCTGGCAAAATAAAAGTTGTCAATCATATTTTTTTTTTGCATTTTAGCGTCAAAGCTCATATTTTCAACCAGATGCCAATTGAGTGAGAAAGATTTCAGCCAACCGGGTAAGATGAGGATAATTTCGAAATGCTCCAACTCCCAAGAAATTATCCTTTCTCGTCGAGAAATCAACTCCTGGCTTTGTTTGTGGCTCCGTGATTTCATAAAAATGCTTTGAATAGACACATTAACAACAGTGGTGAGTTAAGTTACCTACTATTTTTAAAAGCAATATTGTAGCTTTATTTTACATTTCTAAAAAAGCGATATCGTTAGGAACATTTTAAAATAAAGCAATATGTCACACAGTTATGTAGTCGGAGACACGCCCTTGTTTTATTGCCAAAGTCAGTCAAGGCATCACATTTTTTGATTCACAGCCATTTTGATCGTCTCAATTGCCATCGTATCGTATGAAATTCTACAGATGAAAGGGCAGTCTGCCTAAAATTTAGCCCAGACTAGCAGTTTAATCTGTGGTGTTTCGCATCCATTGAGAACCAAGTAGCGCTTATCCGCAAAATATTTGACTCACGATTTTGCTTTCTATACGACTATGTCCAGGAACGAAAATGTTTATCGCATAGTATATGTGGGGCAAAATACTAATGAGCCAAGTTTTTTTTTGAAACTATGAGCATTGAAATGGCAATGATCAGTGTTCGCTGCGATCAATTTGTGTGGATTTTCCATTCTGATTGTGAAGATGTCGCCGTCTATGTCGAGATTTTCGAACGTTTTTCTAGTTAATTCAACTGTCTGCCATCGACATTAATTCTGCGCTTTGCTCAACCTTAATATTTTCTTTGAAGACGAGCAATCAAATTTATCTTGAATACAGCTTTCTATGGTAGGCCAGGTACTGTAAGATAATGCCAAATTCGAAGCAGTTTTTGTTTTCTGCTAAAGGGCTCAATATATTTGATTGACTTTCAGACATGAGATTCAATGACGTCGTTCTTACGGTAAGCCCACCTGAGCTGATCCGCTTTACCCAAAACGGCAACTGGATGTGTTCACATGACATTCGCAGGCAACAGAACGTCTCAGGAAGGAATGAAACGCCCTAGTATACCTCAACGGAATTCTCCGTTTATCCTACCACCGACTAAAGTCGCAAAAAGAGTAGGGACCGTATTTTTTGTAAACAGTAGAAACGATATTTCGAAACCGACTTTCCCTGAACCTCGGTATCACTAATCAATATGTATTCTTTCTTTGATGAGCTTACACGAGGTTGATAATGTTTATTTTCGGCTAACGTTTCGACGTCTTCGTCTTCCTCAGAGCCGATGACCCGAGTCGATGGTCCTCGCTTGTTATTCGTCTCGACTTGGCAGCTTCGCCTTCGTGACGATTTATGTCTTCTTCAGTGAGTCATCTCCTCGAATGAGGCATCCTTACTCAGTGATGCCCTTTTATACACGATACTGATGGTCGATATAATGATAATGTCTGGTGATAACAACTTGCTTTTCTTTCGGACATACATCATTGCGCACATCGTGCAGAAGTCGGTGTTGTTATCAGCTAGCACAAGTCCGAGAAAGTTCAGGGAAAGTCGGTTTCGAAATATTACTACGCTTTGTGCTAGCTGATAACAACACCGACTTCTGCACGATGTGCGCAATGATGAATGTCCGGAAGAAAAACAAGTTGTTATCACCGGACATTACCATTATATCGACCATCAGCATCGTGTATAAAAGGGCATCACTGCGTAAGGATGCCTCATTCGAGGAGATGACTCACTGAAGAAGACATAAATCGACACGAAGGCGAAGCTGCCACGTCGAGGTGAATAACAAGCGAGGACCATCGACTCGGGTCATCGGCTCTGAGGAAGACGAAGACGTCGAAACGTTAGCCGAAAATAAACATTATCAACCTCGTGTAAGCTCATCAAAGAAAGAATACATATTGATTAATGATACCGAGGTTCAGGGAAAGTCGGTTTCGAAATATTACTGTGACAAAAATTTCAGAAACGTCAGAAGTTGAACAAAGATCCATTAAACTACAATATTTTCAACGTGGACTTTTAGAGATTGTGCCGCACGCGTTTTTCGGATGTATTTCGCTTAGCTCTTCCAAAAAGTAGGGCGGCATCACTCGATAGACATGATTTCATCAGAATTGTTCATAGGAATAGAGGAGGGGAACATATGTTTTTCTCCCTTTGTGTTATCCATTTCGATGCTGAGTTTCCGAAATGTGACAGTAGCGTACTATCTCTGGGGATGATAAGTAGTGGTACAAAACAACAGCAGTAGTTGGCTGCTAACGATAACGTTCTCATTCCCGAGGTTCCCTTCCCAGATGCGCGCCGAGCCGCAGCGCATAAAACCTCCTTCAAACAATTTTATTGCCTTTCTAGAACGCCCGTCGAATGTTCCACCTACTTTGTCACTTTAGTTTGTTCCTCATTCACATTTACAGCTCAGCGATTTCATTTCCTAGATAGGAAAGACTTATTGGACCAACAAATACCCAGCCAGACCACTGTAAAATTCTTCAGATTTTCGCTAGCTCCGCGATGAAGACTCTTTTGGCAGCTATTCTGCTAGTTGGTTTGGCCTTGGTTTTCTCTCAGTCCACTGGTAAGAAAACTGATGCAAAGTGTGTCAAAAAAACATCGATCTGAAATATTACTGGTTTAGGATCTC